GGATCTTAAAGCGTTTGCAAAGTTTCGTTCCCTTACTAAAAACGATGCATTTTTTAGGAATTTTTTTGTATCTCTTTAGGGTTAAGAGCTTAAATGGTTCTTCTACACCATTTCTGGTTCTCTAAAGAAGCTCTCAGTGATCAGTTCTTAAAATAAAATTTCTTCTTAGTGTAAAGAACATTTGATTAATCTAAAAAACCTTTTTCCGCTCTAAAGAACCTTTAATGGTTTCATGAATGCCAAAAAAGAAGCTTTATTTGTGAGTGTGAAGCACAAATGGGTTTATTGTGGAGCCCTTTGTCTCTCTGGAACACAAAAGTACTGTTACAGCGCCTCCACTTTCTGATAGATTACAGACTGATAGTCCAGCGCTTTAGCTTCATCTTCATCATCAGTCTGTCTTTCTCTCGTCAGAGCGAGATGTTGTGTCTCAGATTCTCCGTTTGCATGATAATGTCAGCAGCTGCGTTCGTCATTCAGTCGCTGACCTTCCTTCATCTGAGGACTGAAAGGCCTCTGCTGTGACATTATCTGACAGAGATTCCTCAGCAGAGCTTCATCATCTTCACCTGCTCCTCGAGTGTGTGACGTGTGTCCGTACGGAACGCTTCATCCTGTGTTTCAGTGTCTTTTGTCCATCTTCTGTCTCTAAATGCACCACGTTTAGACACACATCTAATGTTCCTGAATGGACTCACAAACCTGAAAACCCTCCAAATCTGAAAAAAGAAATAAGAGTTTTAGTTTTTTGACAAAATGACAGAATTTTAACAAAAATATTATTTAAAAACAAAACGTGTTTTAAAAATGTTTAAATATTATTTGGATAATATTATTTTAAAATCTACATTTTATTTAATATACACTTGTTCCAAATTTGTTAAATATTAATTTATTTCTGCACTGAAAAAATGGTACAGAAACATTTTTTACTTAGAAATTGCTTGTAAATTGTACAAATTATTGAATTAAACATGACATTTTGAAGTAAAAAATATTTTTTTACAGTGAATATACAACAC